ACGGCGACATTATACGTGTCGTCAAATGTATTTGCACTCCGATCGCAACTTTTCGGCCCTTTCCGTCAGACTTCGGATTAATTAATTATTGTTTTTATGAATAATAGCCGAGGTGTTCCGAATGTTTGTACTCCTTTCCCGTTCTGTACATGTACTTTGATAAGAGGGTCAAGTTTTCGCGAACTTGAAACGTTAAATGATAACGCAAATGACAACGTCTTTAGTTAAGCATACATTGTCGACGCTTCAATCAAGAACCAATTTCCTACCCCCTGAACAAGAAAATGGCGTGAAATGGGAGAAAAGATAGATATGTTTTCAAATTGACACAAGACCATAAAACGATATGTTGAATAACTATATAGCATGTTGTCTTGATATAATTCAGTCATAAATTGTGTTTTTTAAATGTCGTGATTTTAATCAATGAAGAGTAAAAACTAATCACGATTATTTCATAGAAAAAGATGATTCACAAAAGTGCAGAAATATATTTTGAAATACTTGTACTCGTTAGAAAATATCAACACGTCTTACTCAGTGAAATGTCATGCCCACTATGGTAGTTTAAATAGTAAGGCTTTTTTTAAGAAAACAACAAAAACAACAACAACAACAACAACATTTTGCTACTTTTGTGACACGCAATTTTCTTTCTTCTAGTGATAAGCAGTGAACAGTCATGCTCTTTTAAAACCATTATACATGAATACACGTTATGAGACTCACGTTTGTGCTTTGTAAACTTAAGAAGGAAATGATATTTGTTTCAGAGGAGTAATGTGCCTTTAACGTATATGATAGAAATACTAGTACATTGTATATAAATACATTATGCAATGATATCATATAAAAAGTACATTTAATAAGCAAAGTCACGCGTTTCAAATTCGATATGGTAATTTATTTGAATGGCGAAAAAAAATCTTCTATAGAAACCAATTATCATGATAAATTTAGCATCGATCTAGTTTAATTTGATTCCTCGTAATTCTCGTTTATTATTGATGATTGATTTTGTAATATAATGTAGGAGTTATTTTGAATATTTTATTTAATCCTATTATAAGGTAAGGCATAAATTGCGGTATCGACTTTTAAGTTTAGCTGTTAATCTGTGTAATTATTCATAAATACTCGCAGTTTAAGTGCGGGAACTATTCAAGGAATTTGTTTTGCTGCAAAATGCAGAAAAGAACTAAGAAGTTCAAAAGTTTTACATTACGCCTATCCCCCTTTTGTAGACATTAATAAAACACATAACGAATGGTTATCATAATAATAACAATGATAAATTATGGGCCTAAAATGCGGATGCGGTTTAAGCGAACTATTTCAAAATAGAATTTAATTTACTTTAAAAAGGAAAACGATTTTTTTCAAAGTATGACTGAAAATATTTAGAAAATGTTTTCCGCCTTTTGTTCACCATAAACAGAATATTTTATAGTAAATCAGTCACACCCAGGGCAAAATTCCGGACTCTTAAAGCTCTGCCTATCCTGTATTGGTTCTGATATACGAGACTACTATGTGAGCCGTGTCATGACAAAACCAACATAATGGGTTTGCGACCAGCATGGATCCAGACCAGCCTGTGCATCCGCGCAGTCTGATCAGGATCCATGCTGTTCGCTATCAGTTTCTCTACTTGTTATAGGGTTTGTAAGCGAACAGCATGGATCCTGATCAGACTGAGCGGATGTGCAGGCTGGTCTGGATCCATGCTGGTCGCAAACCCATTATGTTGGTTTTGTCATGGAGCGGCTCATGTGATCTACATGTAACATGTGTATTATAATATAAAGAATCTCCGTAACTTATTAATATTTGACCTCCTTAAACTATCACATTCTTGACCTTTTATTGAATTTGTAAGATGACCGCCATTACAGGGATTTTTTGGATTATTTTATAGCCGATATTCGGTCATATTCCCAAATGAAAATAGTACAGCATTTTCCCAATACACAGGAAAATATTCCCAATTAAAAGTAACAAATTAAAAATATTGAATCACAAATTCTAAAAGCTTTGAAAATAAGGGCTTCTTCACTGTTACGGTGCTTTAATGTTTGAAGATGCCATCCTAGACAGGGCTTCTTCACTGTTATGGTGCTTAAATGTTTGAAGATGCCATCCTAGTCAGTGCTTTGTTGCATTCATTTAATCACTGCAAAATTAAAGTCATGTTTTTTTTTCCTTCAAATTTTTAATAAAACATCACTGAAATTCACAATTCCATGGGTATGGGTCATGTTTCCTAAATCTTAGATAAAACTCTGCATTATCAATACTGGCATGTGATTAATTGTGGGTTTATTTTCTTGTATGCTATTTGGTTCATATTACACGACTTTTTGTCTGTTTTCAGCAAATCCAGGAGTTTGTCCCGTACCAGTGGGGGCCGGTACCTGTGTCGAACAATGCTCAAACGATACCACGTGTCAGGAACACGAGAAATGTTGTTACAACGGGTGTGGCCACGTGTGCATGGCAGGTAAGCTAATACATGTATATATACACATTTAGTGTTACAAGAGCCCCTCCCCCCCCCCCCCCCCCCCGAGTGTGAGTGTAAACAGTTCTTTTTGCATGGTCAAAGTCCTGAAGTGGTATTACTGTTAAAACCACACACTTCTGTATTTCAATGAAGGGCAATTCATTTTGACCAATGACCTTGACATTGCTCATAGCAATCTATGCTTTAATATAACTAGTTTCAAATTCCGACATCTTTAAATGAATTAAGTTGAAGTAAGATGTGTATATATAACGCATAAATTGTTTCCATGAGTAAATAAAATACGTGAAATTTCTTACCCATGTTAAGACACATCTAAACGTATGGAAAAACCTTGCACTTCAAAAGATATATACCGGTGTATCAACAAATTTTATTTTTAGCCTATGTTATGATTTTTGTGTTACACATGTCAATTTGAAATTGAATGCAATTAAAGGATGTATATTGCAAATATATAAGGTAGTTTTGTCGGTTTACAATAAAATTGATTTGTTTATACCACAACACGCATTCAGGTTGCAATAAATTTAATATTCATGCAAAAAAAAAAGATGCATGTTGCGTGCAGGAATGCATTTATATATAACTCGTGTACACTGTTACGTACAACGCACTTGCTTATATTTTACTTAAGAAAACAATCGTTAAATTTCGGTCATTTCCGTTATACTCCGGCAAAGGGTTTCCGAATCATAGGGAAAGATGGGAAACACATTTATATAGCATTTAATATGATAATATAATACTAAGTGAACTGTTTGGGTATACTTTTCACTTCTCTTGTTTATTCCACGATATATTATTTTTCTTAAGTCTTGGAGATTACCTAGTATAATAAGAACAGATAGGAATATTTAATGTGTTAGGAAAATTGAGTTTGTAACAAAACAGAACTGGATTAGTTGCAAATGATACTGGTTAACAAAACGGTGTTTTTTGCAACAAAACAATTTTATTGAAGTGTATATGAAGCTATATCTGATGAAATATATTTTTTTATAGAAAAATATATCAACAGTGCAGTTATATTGGATCCATAATCTTATGATAAATTCTCGAAAGAGTTGAAACATAAAATGTCTATGAATATTGTACGTAAACAGAATATAAAAGTTCCTAATAAAATATCATTCCGCTGTTTCTTCGTTTAGTAATGATTTCGTGCACGTGCGAACGTGCTATTGGCTTTTACTATTGGCTTGTACTATTGGCTTGTACGGCAATTTACTTCCATATTTACTTTTTGCAAGCATTTTGGAAGTATGCCTTTTTAAAATTCAAACAAGTATTTATCTGTTTAGTGATATTTTATAAAACCTGGAAGTATCTAATCCCGAGGAATATTTAAGTCATCTTGAAAGATTCAATATTATATATTTATATACAATTGCCTGCATGTGCGCTTGTTTCATTTCAACGTTGGAATGCTATTCAAAATGTTAATTTACTTATATAGATGTTTTAGTGCGTGTAGGTCTAAATGTATGTGGTGAAAGTCAAACAATCAACTTATCTTTGAAAGCACACAGCGCCTGTTTTTAGCGGTTTCAGGCTGATGCTTTTAGATAATAATTGAGTTGTATATCTGGTTAAAGCACGACTGTCATTAATCTTTGGTATATAAATTGGAAATGGGTACCAAGTGGGGATTGTCATGTGTTTTTTTTTGTATGATGAAAACGCGTGACATGTCGACCACACAAAGGCTGTATTGTCACTTTTGGTGACCGTCCTGGCTCAGGTCCTTGACTTAAGAGACTACAAAGGCTGTACTGACATTTTTGGTAACAGTCCTGATTCTTGTTATTGGCTTAAGAGACTGAGCTGGAGTCCATTGCTCGAGAACTATGCAGGTTCGAGTGTCATTCACAACGTTGAAATAATTCACACATGGCAGCCATTCTGCTGATGTATGGTGTGTCGCCAGCATTGGAAACTGTGCTAGTTCACATCCGTGGCTTTAAAGTCTGAACTTCAATCCATTGCACGTGAATTGTGTAATCAAAACGTTGATTTACCGGATATTTCATGTAAGAAGACATTCAAATGTATATATGTGCATCACAGATTCTTTTAGTACGCCACAGCCTGCCCTTGCCTTAAACCTAGCTTGCTTAATTTCTTATTACCTTCTTTGACCTTGAAAAGTAACACCTTTATTTTAATATCCTTACATAAAACTAAATTACAATTCACTGGCAACATATATTTCGCGACATAGTGCGGGAATAGATATCATTGTTTTTTCAAAAGTTGTCTCCCTTTTATAAAAATCTTGTAAAATCGGGTAAAAGCTATCCCCCCTTACTTAATCATCTTCATTTGTACCTGATAATTGCTAAAAGCACGAAACAGTTCAGTAGTGCACTAAAACATGAAACGTCGATTCCTTTATCGTTTATATATATTTCGTATTTATTTATAGATTTGTTAAAGCTTGCCGCTTGTAACTCTATATATGCACTGTTTTTTAAGTGTTGCCTAATTAGTCGTTGACATTATTGACATCTTTAGTAAACAGCTATATCAGAAAACTGCACACGCAAAAGGTTCTGTTAAACTTATTGATTTGAACGTTATAAGTGTGCTACAATCGATTAAGTCTATCAGAACCGCCTAGATCTCTGGCGGTGCTCAATATTTGCAGAATGAATATCAATATATAAATGATTTTATGATGTATCTATCACAATTTTCTTGGAACTGCTTTTTTATGGACAAAGATCGAGCGAGAAACATTATTTAAATGACTTTTGCAAAATTTGAGGTGATATGTTAAATATTCTTTTTGCACGATGGTTTAGGTCCGTCCGTCCGGCGTGGATTTTAAGTGTTCGCGTGACGTGTTATTCTTGGAGACATAAGGCCACACTTTGGTCAGCACTTAACCTGTATTGACAACCTTGGACATCCATGGCGGAGTGGTTAATGTAGTTGACCTCAAATATATTGTTCGCTAACCTCTGTTAGCTCGAATTTTCCCAGTAAGTGTGAGGATACTATCCATCTAGCTAACGGTGGTCGAGTTTAAATATGCACCCGTTCAAACGAAAAAGCACTTGCAGGTGCGTCTGGGGTTTTCCTTCATCTGTAAAAAAAACTTGAAAGTCGCTACTGAAACACATGATAGATCTGACCATCAAAAACAAACAAATCAAATCACATTATATATACATAGTGTATTTCATTTTCAATGTAATCATAGATCGGTACTATTTACAAATATTATATATGGGTTGCTAAATGGTACGAAGAAATAACTAATATATTATCACTTTTTTATCAAACTATAAACCATTTTCCTGTAATATTAGAATATAAAAATATAAAACGGTCTCGATTTAGATTTTTATCTTTAAAGATATTGTCTTGTTAATGTATATATTATGTATATAATAGGATGATTGATCGGATTTTTATATATTGAGACTACAACGACATTTCACTTTTATTATTCGTTCGTTTTTTTGTTGTTGTTGGCGCGATCTGTATATACAAGCTTTACAAATGATTTTTATTAATCATGGCGATATTTTTGGGGCTTTTTAGTAATAAGTGTTCGTCGTCTACATTATATGTATAAATAGGCTTCATTTTTGTAATACAATTTATTAATGAAGTCATGGTGGGAAAAAAAAGTATTCTACCTACTTAAACTAGAAGGTACACATATTGTGTAAAAATTGATGTGGTATTCTCATATATATCAGTGAATTACTTAGCCGAATTTACCTGTAGTCAATTATGGGACACGGTGACATGTGTAAGTTAAAGACCCACTTCGACACAACATAAGTAGTTTTCGACAGGACATAAAGCTCCGCACCAACCTTAAGTCCTTATATATTTATATTCCATATGGGACACGTATGATGTGAGAGGCCCACATCGACATTAGATAAATAACTGACAATATAGCAATATGCATAAGAACGAACGAATGAATGCGCATTTTAGTTTTGCCTATCAGTCAAAGACAGTAACATGTACACAACCTCAGCTCTGACAGGTGTATTCTTTAAATTTGGACAGTCTATTCATTTGAAGGTGTTTGATTTGCTTTAAATTAGTAAAAATCAGACTGTGTGATTCTGTTTATGTCTGGCATGCTTGACAAAAGGTACTATTCCCATAAAATTTATGTTTTTATAAGCATGAAAGTTATGAAAACACAGTTGAACTGTTTTCCTCCTTACCTGCTTACAAATGAACCGTTTTAGTTTGTAATTTAAAAGCAAAAGAAGAATGTAGCTCTATATTAATTACTGCTGATATCTAAGAATAGCTTGATATGTCATTCATAGCAAGGAAAGAATTGTTTGGTGTGGTAGGTTTTTAGTAAGAGCACCGGCGTGTCGGTACATGCACGTACCCATGCAGATGACCAATTAGATATAAGTACGTATTTTATGACCAATTCAAGTCATGCAACCTTGCCCTTATCCATTTATACCTATTAAATACTTCAACGCCCTGTTTTTATAAAGAAATAGCACCAATCCTAAATAATACAATACATTTTCAATAATACTTTTCATTCAATCATTTCGTTTACTAATATATTTAAAATGTGTATATACCCGTTTTATGCGACATTCTCTAAAAAAAAAGTTGTAAAAATAATTAGACTAAAATATTTGCGGTTAGATTATTGAACTGATATCGTTGTCGTCACGATCTGAAGATTTCGGTACATTTCAAAAGCTTCTTAAATACACAAAAATCAGATCTTATCAATGAAATATCCCATTCATGATTTAAGGTGTAGTAATTACCTGTGTCAGCCAATATTTTTTGTCCCCATTTGTACAAAAAAACTCCCTGTAGTACACTATCGTAAATAGCGAACATTATTGATACAGACAAATAATTTCAACGATTTTCAAATTGGATGTAATTGGTTAAATTGGAAAGCAGACAGAACGCTAAAAATCTGCAGATATCTCGCTGTATTGAAGGCACATTTATGTATT